CACCTGGCAGAGTGATCCGCTGATTTGGAGCCATTGCAGCAGAACATGGAGGGGGACTCCGAACCCATGCAGGTGGACCGTACTCGCCTTTCCCTCAAGGAGCGGAGGCGTTGCCTAAGTAAGAACTTTGTACTGTGGACATTCAGGACATGTTTTGTCTAAGTGCCCAATAAAAGACCAGACTCACCAGTAGAGGAGGGAATTCTGGTGAGTCCAACAAGATCTTCTCTCTGGACACATTCTTGGGACTGTTACCCACTTGACTCTCCCTGTTAGACGTTTGATTTCTGGTAACCATCAGGAGACTATTCAGTTTTATATTCTGTCTTCCCCCCACCATCCGATCATTTGGGATTACTGTGGTTGTTCAAGCACAATCCTCACATGGACTGGTCCACAAGAGCTATTTTGCAGTGGTCCCAACCTTGTTTCCAGTCTCAATCCCCTCAGATCTCATCTTCTCCTGCTTCAGTACCAGATCTGGCCAAGGTGCCCAGGGATTACCATGACCTAAAGGAGGTGTTTGACAAGGCCAAGGCTTCTGCTCTTCCCCCACATCGGCCTTATGACTGTCCCATTGACCTCCTTCCCGGGGCTATTCCTCCTAGAGGTCGCCTCTATTCAATCTCTCCTCCTGAAAGAGAGGCCATGGAGAACTACATAAATGACTCACTGGCTGCTGGGGTAATCTGCCCTTCATCTTCGCCAGCAGGGATTATGATGTTGGGAACAAGGAGCTGCTGACTGTTAAGTTAGCTTTGGAGGAGTGGCGCCACTGGCTTGAGGGGGCAAAGCAACCGTTCTTGGTCTGGACAGATCACAAGAACGTGGAATACCTGCTGTCAGCCAAAAGACTGAACTCACATCAGGCGAGGTGGGCTCTCTTCTTTACCAGATTCTGTTTTACATTGTCTTATCGACCTGGCTCAAGTAACGGCAAGCCTGACGCTCTCTCTCGACAGTTCCCAGGCGAGGAGAGGCCTGGTTTCTCTGATAACACCATCCTTCCACGCTGCCTTGCTGCCTTGTGGCCATGATCACCTGGGACCAGTGATGGGAATAACTTAAGTTACTAATGGCGTTACTTTTTTCAGTAACGGGTAATCTAACTAATTACTTTATCTATCGTTATAACGCTGTTACCGTCACCAACTCGCTGTTACTGTGCGTAACTGAAGCTACTCATTGAAGCTGTCATCCGACTTTGCTCACACAGACACAGGAGCTGCAAATGTGTGTTTTTTCCCTATTGCTGGCGTTTACACACAAACCCAGCACACAGGTCGAGCAGCACACACATACAAACTTTCAGAGATGGCGAGTCCGGAGTCAAAGGGGAAGAAGGTGTTTTGAAGGTGGAAATACAGGCACTACTTTAACCTCGTCAAGGTAAAAAGTAAAAATGTACATCAGTGTTCAGTGTACATTATGTCCCAGAGCAAAGAGTTTGTCCACGTCCGGTGCTCCAATTTAATGAAGTCTGCATCTCGACGGCAGACGCTTCTACTACGTTGTCAACCAGTGACGTGCGGTCAGGGGAGAAAAAAAGTACATAAACTAAATATTATAATTTTCCTCTGATCTGTGTTAAAGATACATTTTCAGTATGACTCAAAATTAAATTTGTGCTGCACTCATCTCTATACTTGAATTTGTTTACAGTAAATATGAATTTCTTAGACACAAGAAGGGTGCTCTATCCATTTGTATAAAGAAACGTTTTTTGTAGGACGAATATGTTCCTGTGTATATGTTTGTATTGGTGTAAGTGTAATTGATAGAGGAATGCTGATGGATATGAAGCATTACCAGGTGCATGCTGTTGGAGGAATAGTGAAATAAGGTGCTCTTTTCAGTTCTTACAATTGTAAATCTGACTCCAGAGGAGTCAGTGCCTCGCCAGTCATGAACCTCACCGCACGTCACTGATGTCAACAGTTGATTCAGACTCCTTCAGAGCCTTCATAGGCAAAATACCTAAGAGAGGAGGAGCCGGTCCGCCGTGCAGGAAGACATTTTCTAAATACAATCACTAGTTAAATGGCTAAGATGGTGAGATGACTGGGTTGGCTGGGTGGATGAATAATTGCATGCATGGATGAGTGTTAGGAAGGAGTGTATGGATGGATAGATGAATGAATCTTTAGGAATTAAAGTTGGATTTGTTCAGCAAATTCATATACAGTACATTTTCAGTACAATTTTAAAAGCACTTCTGTTAAACTGTTTACTTTTCTTTTTAAGGAAAGGAAAGTGAACTCCTTGTCATTGTGACATACATCACTGCACACAACGAAATGTAACCTCTGCATTTAACCCATCACCAAACTAACTAACTTGGCAGCTGGTGGATTCGAACCTGCAACCTTCCAGACCCAAGTCCACTTCCTTAACCACCACTGCCCAAGAAGATATGATTTGTTTAATTTACACTAGAGAGTTTAATGCGCTTTGTGCAAAAGAGCACAAGAGAAACTCCACACACCTACTTCTTTAGGATTTCAAATCTTAGGATCAGAACTCAATATCCATTCATGGCTTTCGTTTTCACCATGATATTTTGATATCTGAATCCATTTCAGAGTCACTGAATTAATAAATGTTTGAGGTAGAACATAGACGGGTACACAGTGAAAATGTAACTGTTACACATTGTGTAACTCACATTGTTAAACTGTTTACTTTATACTTGAAGTACAGTATGTCCACCAGTTGTCTGAAGTTGTAAAAGTTGGATTCATTTAATTTACACCACAGTGAGTTAAAAGCAAACCTCTGTTCAGGTACCTGTCTTTGCTTTTCTACTCTACATTTTCAAACTTAAAAAAAAGTAACGCAATAGTTACTTTCCCGGGTAACTAGTTACTTTTATAGTTGAGTAACTCAATTACTAACTCAGTTACCTTTTGGGAGAAGTAACTAGTAACTAGAACTAATTACTTTTTCAAAGTAACGTGCCCAACACTGCCTGGGACACAGAGGAGAGAGTCAAGGCGGCATTGGAGAACCAGCCTGGCCCCGGCTCATGTTCTCCAGATTGGCTATTTGTGCCAGCAGGACTACACCCTCAGGTCCTGCAGTGGGCACACAGTTCTAAGCTGGTATGTCATCCTGGTGCTCGCCCAACCACAGAGGTCCTGCAGCGGAGGTTTTGGTGGCCATCCTTAGTAAAGGACACCCTCCGGTTTGTCCAAGCCTGCTCCATTTGCTGTCGGTCCAAACCATCCAATCTTGCTCCTACTGGACTACTTCAGCCCTTACCAATTCCCCACCGTCCATGGTCCCACATCTCTTTGGACTTTGTTACTGGCTTGCCACCCTCGAGAGACCACACGGCCATTCTAACTATTGTCGACCGGTTTAGCAAGATGGCTCATTTTGTTGCCTCACCCAAGCCCCCCCTTGCCAAGGAGACTGCATAGCTGGTCCTTCACCATGTCTTCAGGATCCATGGCCTCCCTCTGGATGTAGTTTCAGACCAGGGTCCCCAGTTCACCTCAGTGTTTTGGAGGGAGTTCTGCTCACTAATCAGTACCACCGTAAGTCTCTCCTCGGGGTTCCATCCCCAGCCCAATGGGCAGGCCGAGAGGATGAACCAGGTTCTGGAAACTACCCACCGCTGCCTCACATCCGAGCACCCCTCCAACTGGTCCGAACATCTCCTGTGGGTGGAATATGCACACAACACCCTTACCAGTTCTGCTACAGGACTCTCTCCATTTCAGTGTGCCCATGGCTATCAGCCTTCCATCTTCCCTGCTCTGGAGAGGGAGGTCACCTGCCCCTTGGTTCAGTCCTTCATTCGACAGTGCAAAAGAACCTGGTCCCGAGCTCGTTCTGCTCTGCTAAAAGGCAAAGGACGGTACACTGTCCATGCCAATCGCTGCCGATCTAAGGCACGCTGTTACTCTGTGGGCCAAAAAGTGTGGCTGTCCACCTAAGATCTCCCTCTTCAGACCGACTCCAAGAAATTAGCCCCCCGATTTGTTGGCCTTTTTCATCTTTTAGGTTAATTGGGAGGGATACGGTCCAGAGAAGAGGTCATGGGTGCTATCCCGCCACAGCCTTGGAACACTTCCAGTGTCGTTTGGGACCAACTTCTCGCTTTAATCCAAGTCATCTCATCAGCTCTGTTCCGAGCAATCTTTGTTGGTTCGCGGAGAATTACGCCTGCTGTTCTACTCCGCTCTTCTGCATCTGGTTCGACTTCGCTTCTTTGTCGTTTTGAGGGATCCCGCAGCGGTGACGTCATTCCTGAGGGGATTCCCTAGATTAAGAGACTGAAACTTGAGACCGAACTTTCCCTTGTTCCGAGCCAGGACTTTTTCTGTTTGTTAAGACTCTTGTTGAAGAAGCATTCATTTCTAAAGACTTCCTGAGTTTGTAACTGCGTATCTCTTCAGTAAAGTGACTTAAACGATATCTATTCTCTGATCCTTCTTTGTGTTGCACTTGGGTCCAAGCCTGTTAATCCTGACAATTTGGGCTTTGGCAGCAGTTTAATATGTTGCCTAATTGATTTTAGATGAAAAGTCCATAGTATTATTATTATTATACAGTTTAAGCTTAAAAGTAGCTAATAAATGTTCAAAGACAATTCACTAAAATGAGCTACAAAACAAGATAAAAGTTGGCCAAAACACCTTCAAAACCAAATACAAGGTTTGTCAAATAAAATACTTGTTTAGATAATAAACACAACTAAAGATACATAAATGGTCGAATTTAAAGTACGTCAAATCATTTTAAGACTAGTCAAAATTACATTGATTTCAATGCTTGTCATTAAAAACATCAAAAAAACTTGTCATAGTTTTTTTAAAGACAAGCATAAAACATAAACAACCACAAAAATTAGTTAGCTTTTGGCTAATTTATGCTACTTGTGTAAAAGTGTCTCTCTTTTCTGTATGTTTTGACCCACTTTCACCCAGCTGTGGGTTAGCTTTAAGATAATTCAAATTAATCCAAGATAATTCAAATAAACTAATAAGGGTAAGGGTTTTTAGTTGATTAGTTATTGACTATTAATATAATAAAAAAAATGTCAATTTGGCCACTCCTTAGCTAATTTAAGGGTAATTGTCATTGAATTGTTGGTTAATGTTTAGCTAACTTTCTGGCTATGTTCTTGTTATTTCTTTATTGATGTTTTAACTTTTTAAGTTTAAGTTAAAGCCTTTAGTGGAGATTTTCTGAGAAAAATTAAAATTTCTACAAATGTGTGTTTTTCCTCCATTTCCAGCTTGTATGTAAACTTTTCTTTTTAAATTTGGTTAACTAGGAAGATGACTGATATCATCATCAATGCCAAGAATTGTATGTCCATCCCTCAAAAAAAAAAAAAAGAGTGAAAATATAATGTAAATTGTCCTACAGGAGAGTCACCCAAAGGTTTATTCAGATGTCAGGCAAGAACATAAATCTTATACACATGTGGAACTCATGTAAGTCAAAGTGCTAGTTGTCATACATCGGAGGTGCATTATGAAGGAAATATATTTTGTATGTCTACTAACATTCATCTGTTTATAGATGAAAAATTTTTGTTACATTCTAGGACTGGTTCCGGTTCACAATGTTTCAAATATAAATGATTAACTATAAAGCGCAGTATCCATTGTGAACGCTAGTGGCCGTTGTTTTACAAGTACATGAGTAGTAGTTTTAATATGATGCTCAATTGTAACATGAGGCAACACAAGCATCTATGGTTGAGCCTGACGTGACACCAGGGCACAAATATGAACGCAAACGCAGCTTAGTACATGTATAATGCTGATTTTCCTGCTTCTAAGTGCTTTCTAGTTCACCCACAATGTAAAGATGAACTTTGGAGGTTAGGGTTAGGGTTAGGGTTAGACTATGTATAATGACAAATGTGCAACTCTAGTGTCCTGGGTCATGCATATCTTTCTTGAGAGAAAATGTTCTTAACTCTAGTAGTTCTAGTAGTTTCTCTGTATTCTCTGAAGTCTCTGTATGGATAATGAAAACAACACATAGTTTCTAAAATATATTTTCTTTGTATCAAAAATACTCTCTGCTGTGATGCTGATATGTGAAGCTGACACATGAATAAACCTGAGAGGTAACCTTATCCCCAAAAACTCTTGTTTTTCCCACGACCCCCGTCTTTCCCCAGAAACTCTGGCTCAATCAAGATGCACACTAAAAACAGTTTGTACGTGTTGAGGGTCTGTACGCGTATGTAGATATGTGTTTGTGTATGTCGTGTTCCCCTCTATGCAGGAGTTGGCAGTGGGTTAAAGAGATGGTTTGAGGCACTACAAGAAGGCCGTCCTGTCTGGAGGTAAATCTTGGGGCCCCTGTTGTTGTTCTACTAAGTCTGGTATCTGTCTATAGAGGGATGGGGAGGGGAGTTGAGCCAAAGCCTCTGAGGGAATTTGTCAGTGTCTGTACAGGTGCAATACAGTACTGTACTGTGCAATGTTGTCTCTCCCGCCTGATCCTCCACACCTGTTTCTGTCTCCTTGTCACCTCTGTCTGGTGTCAGTCCAACGACGCTCAGTTCTTTTTGAAAAAAGAGAAAAGCCTCTTGTCCTGGTTGGAACTGTGACAAACCCGTCTGGAGGAGTGACCACCATAGGGCCACATTGACCCTGATGGGTGGGATTGTCACTCGTCCTGGTGTTTGTCCATTAGCTGCTGGTCAATCACTCTGTGCATGTCGTCCTAAATTCATGGACAGAGAAGTGGATTAGAATAGAACAGGGTTAGAAATTATGAAGAGTTTTTCATTCACGTTCTTTGCATGACCCTAATGTCACAGATCTTGGACTGGAAGCTCAAGCTGGATCCTCCAGCGGCATTTCATGTTTGTCCCTGTACTTCCTCCCCATACTAACAAAAGCTATAATATCCAGTGGTTCTTGTGGTTCTTTTTCTAATGTGCTCCTTTGTGGAACATAGGGCTGTTGCTGAGCCCCTGCACTCCATAACATACAGTTTGGTGTCAAACTTCACTGAAATGAAACACCAACTTCCAACAAAACTGCTATTCACTTTGAAAAAAGACTTATAAGTTCAAATCAGCAAAGTCTCCACCAAATAAATAACAATTTTATCTGAAAATGTGATCTTTTTAAAATTTGGTCGTAGCATCAATTTTCTGTGTGACCCCACATCACCTCCCAATAGTTCCTTGTTCCCCAATTTTATCTAATGCTCTTTCCAGTGACACTTTCCCAATAACATATTAATAATTGAGTCCCTTATTTGTTCCTCAATGGGAAAATCACAGTGTGAGTGTTTGCAAGTGGCTGCCACAGGAGGCGCCATTAGGGATATGTGGTTCCTCTGGCAATGGAACCCAGGTCTCTCTCCTCTCTGCTTGCAAGGCAGGCATGCTCACGGCTACACTATGGAACCATACTTTCAGTGTTACAATTTAAGAGGTTAAAGTACAAAAGTACAAAAGCAGGTGGTTGTGGACTATCAGGATAATATCCATGTGATTGATTATGATAGTTTGGATGAGAATTTCAACTGAGGCGTTCAACAGTGGCATGGAATGCATGGCACAGGAGTGGAGTTAGTAAAAAGTCAAGGTGGCACGCTCGGTCTCACCTCGCAGGAGGGGGGAGGTACCACAGGGGAGAGAGGGTGGTACGGAAGCTGAGAAAGGCCACTAGATCAGAAACCACAAGAGCCAAACAGTAAAGAGCCCTGAGGAGGCAAACTGTGGGCAGGGGGAGGACAGAGAGACAGAGAGGAGAAGAGCTGCTAGTAAGGGAGTTGAGGTGAGGAGAGGAGAGGAGAGGAAAGGAGTGACAGTGTCCTCACACTGAATATTTAAAATGTTTTCTTTCTTACACTTTTAAATAATAATGGTGCATTGTATTTGATAAAGAGATTCTGTTTTATCTAGAAAGCATAGCCAGAGCTAAGTGGCTAACTTTTGAATATAAATATTGGGAAACATTAAAGGAAAATAATATTGAAACAACAAGGAAATATATATATATCAAAAAGATTTGTATATTTTAACGCATTTTGTTAAAGAAAGATAATTTCAATAAAACCCAGGAGAATTGTTTAACCATTTAAATGACATTTAAAAGTGACTGTTATTGTTAAATCACCAAACTGACTGGACTCACCTGCCAGGCCTCCAGCTGCTGCGACAGGTTAAGCTTCTGCTGGATAGCATCCAAAAGCTGGTTATTCAGAGACATGATGTCTATTTTACACTTGGCCAGTTTCATCTCTACTGCTTTTTTTCTGCAAGAGACAAAGATGGACAAATAATTACTGACTTTGGAAAAAGCTCAGCTTGTCCCGTATGTAGTAGCGCTTTGGCCCAGAGGCAATGTTTCTGTCATTGGTGTGGAACCCCAGGGTTCACCTCCTGAGCAAGTTTGAATCCCGGTTAGGGCAGTTGGTACCTTCCAGTGGAATCACCACCTGCAGGAAAGTTTGGGGGGTTGGGGCGCTGCAATGTGATTTGGGTGGTGACTGCTGCCCCCGTGACCTGGTAATGGATAAGTGGATGAAAATGAATGGATGGATGGATGTGCTGTATGTTATTTATTTTGCTAAATAAAAAAAGAAACCTCAAATTCAATTCAACTTAATTTCATAAAGAAGGAACAACAAAAAAACCAAAGCTTTTCGGTTTACTATGACCTATCTTCACTGTAGTTAATCATTATATGTAATAAATAAGTGAAGTTAATTATTACATATATTTAAGCTTCAGCTTATCTTTATTCCTGCAATACATTTTAAATAATACTTTACTTCAATATGTCAAAGGACAAGACATTTTTTACATTTCTAAGTGGACATTTTTATACTTTGTAACATTTTAAGTGCAGATTGAAATTTCTGTTCTGTGATAATTTGAAGAAGCCATGTGATCCTACTTGGCTATGGCTTCATCCCTGTCTCGGATGGCGCTCTGGAGCTGTTCGCTGGGTTCTCGAACTTCAGCCGTCGTCCTCATCTGCTGGTTCTCCTCCTGCAGAGAACACATCTCCATGGAGAGGAGCGCCATCTGTAGGTAAGATTGATAATACAACGCGTCCTACATCACAAACCACACAACCGAACCTCATCAAATCAACATTCAGGTGCAACTGCTGGTACCTGATTGTGCAGCTGCTGCAGCTCTTCTTCACTGCAACAGGTTTTCTGCTGTGCAGATTCAAACAGCTCCTTAACCTCCCTCAGTTCTTCTCCTAACTTTCTCACCTGCTCCTCCAACGCCTCCTCATCACTGCGCCGTGAGCCCTGTCAACACCCAACACAAACAATGACACAATACCCTTACAATACAGCATGATAATACTTGATTTTCGATGTAAGTCACAACTCCCGTACTGTACCTATATGTCACTCACCTACGCTAACACAGTGGCAACATCATATTCTAGAACATAAAAACATCGAGTGTCTGACTTAAGCTTGGGATCCATAACAAAGGGCAAAAGGTTCTCAGAACACAAATGAAAGAAAGTAAATGTAGCACAATCCAATGTATGGAATGCAACCGGCAAATGTAAACAAAGCCACCTTCTGCGTATAGCGTCATGTGACAACATACTAGTCTGCCCTGCTGCCAACTAGTTTTTGTGTGGAATTTATTTTAACCCCATACGTCAGATTGAATGAACAAGTCTTTTTTTGTAAAGCCCTTTATAGAGCCCATGTAATTAAATCATTCTGTATTGAACACATGAAATTAAGCTTGTTCTTTTACTCTGAGTGACTTTCCAATTATTGTCTGTTAGCAACAATTTTTGTGTTTATAAAAGCAGCTTCCATTTCTACTGTCTAACCACAAGTCTAAAAAAACTTTACTGAAATGTCTGGGCTTCACTGAAATTCATTGAGGGCCTAATCCTCAGCCCTGTTTGGGCCTCCAGGTTATTGCCTGATCAGCCTTGTGAAATGAAATTCTTCCATCCACAGCAGGTGTAGAGTTTATTACCGTAGACTCATTGCCGTCTAGCAGGTTCTGTGTGAGTCTCCTCAGCTCCAGAAGGCTGGTGTGGAGGCTTCCTGTAGGCACATCCTTGGCTGAGGACATCTCTGAGGACTCGTCCATGGAAGAGTCTGTGGACAGCGCAGAGTCTGTGATGTCATTTCCCCGGAGATGTGAGCAGAGTGATCTGACCTCACAGTAGGCCTCCCACAATTGAAGACGCAACTGAAGAAGAAGAGGATTTAGTTACACAATAAAAACCAAGAAAAAACAAATGTTTAGATGTTTAAATGTTTATCTTTTGGCTAACTTTTAACCACCGGTGCACAAACATCTCAAAGATGACAATTTCATTAACCAATGTCTAGCTATTGATGTTTACAGTATTTAGGAGGGCAAAATTGTATCTCTTGCTAACCTTTAGCCGTTAGCCTTTAGCCTCAAAGCTAACTTCCAGTAATCTTCAGTTACCTACATAAGGCTATGCCTTAGCAATCTGTCTTTTATGCTGAGACATTTAGCTATCATTTTCCTTAACGTATTGCTATTTTGCGGCTACAATTTCATCCATTTCAACTATTAATCTGAAAAGGTAAAAAAATATTATCTAATTAGGGTTAGGGTTAGAGTTAGGGTTAGGGTTTAGTTTTTTATCTATTTCTTTTAAGAAAAACTAAAATAACTGTACTTCTGATCATCCATCAGCAGATGGAGTAGTGACTGACCCTGTGTTAGGTGAATAACTGTAACATAGGTGAGTAGGTGATAATAAGCACCTGCTCCCGTTCTTGCTCCTGTTCCTCCTGCTCCATGCTCAGCTCTATCTCACACAATAGACTGGATGGGTGTGGGGTAATGTTCAGCTCCTCCAGTCGAACAGTCAGTTGTCTGTGGGACAGCTGAACCTCTTGGAGCTCCAGATGACTCTGTTGCAACTGAAAAAAACCAAAGAGGCTAAAAACAGTGTAAACAATCGATCTCCAACCCAGTTCTCTGGGCCAATGGAGGAAAACGCTCAAATTAATTTTCCTTCATTGTGAGCAGACCAGAATGATATATAACTGCAACATATTCAACCAGAGAGATGAGCTGCATCAGCACTTTCCCTCTGTCATTGTTTACTGTTGGAGAAAGAGAGTTAACCAGTCATCAAGTGACATTTATGACCTAAGTTGTCGTGTAGAAGCACAGCCAAACCACAAACAAGTGTATATTTAAGTCTATATGCAAGGTGAGAAATATGTGTGCCCTGGTTTTGGAAATGAGTGGTTGGTGTCACCACCAGTAGAAAAACAAGCTTGTCGGGATGAATAATGTAAAAATCTGAACAACTGTTCTCTGAAAGCAATGAAAGTAACTTTAAAGATCAAATATAAAACAGTCTTGTGGTGAAGGAGACTTTACTAACTTAACAGTGATGGAGGTGGATCTAACAGTTGCTCTGTAATCTGTCCATTACCTGTAGGTCCTTCTCATGGCACTGCTTCTCTAACACCAGCGTCCTCTCTCTGAGGTCATCCACTGTGCTCTGAAGCAGCTCATTCTCCTCCAGCACGGCGTGAACGCGACGTTCCAGCTCAATTTTCCCCTCTGACAGCATCTTAATCTAACACATTAAACGGGAAAACGTTAGCCTCCAAAAACACAGAATAATAGGTCTGGGATTTTTTTTTTTACAAAACTGGATTAAGACAGATGGATTTCTGTTTGTGAGTGGAGCTGGGCTCCTACATGAGACTATAACCTACTCCCACTGCTCTGAAGAATGTTTGTTGCCTAGCAGAACGTAGGCGTTCATTGCCACCCTCGTCTTCAGGAATGTTGTGGTGATACTGCCCGTTAGTGTTTCTACTGAGGTTGCTATCAACTTAGAACTGTACTCTCTGACATTTACAGCCTTTCAGTGAAGGTCAGTCTGTCAGCATCACAACATCTTCCTTGTAGACCGTTTTCTTTGTCTTATGCAGCTGAAGCAGCTTGTCTCCATTAAACATGCATCAGTTCTTGTGAAATTGTATCCCTTGCATGTTTGATCTACATCTGATAGCAGGAGTTTATAATAGCAGGGATCAGTTCTCTTCACAAACTTGACAAAAACAAAGACTTCAAGGTGGAGGTGGGACTACATCGAGGATCGGCCCTGAGCCCCTTCTTGTTTGCTCTGGTGATGGACAGATTGACAGATGAGGTCAGACAGGAGTCCCCATGGACTATGTTGTTTGCAGATGACATTGTGATCTGTAGTGAGAGTAGGCAGCAGCTAGAAGAGAACCTAGAGAGGTGGAGGTTTGTACTAGAAAGAAGAGGAATGAAGTTCAGCCGCTGCAAGATAGAGTACATGTGTGTAAACGAAAGGGAGAACAGTGAAATAGTGAGGTTACAAGAAGCAGAGGTGGTGAAGGTGCAGGAGTTTAGGTACTTAGGATCCACTGTTCAGAGCAGAGGAGACTGTGGAAGAGAGGTGAAGAATAGAGTACAGGCAGGATGGAACAGCTGGAGAAAAGTGTCAGGGGGGATCTGTGACCGAAGAGTATCAGCTAAGGTGAAGGGAAAGGTTTACAGGATGGTGGTGAGACCAGCCATGATGTATGGTTTAGAGACGGTAGCAATAGGCAGAAGACAGGCAGAAGACAGGCGGAGCTGGAGGGGGCAGAGGTAAAGATGCTAAGATTCTCTTTAGGAGTGACAAGAATTCAAAGGATCAGGAATGAGGTCATTAGAGGGACAACACAGACAGGAAGGTTTGGAGAAAAAGCTAGAGAAGCCAGCTTAAGATGGTTTGGACATGTGCAGAGGAGGGACAGTGGATACATTGGTAGAAGAATGTTAGAGATGAAGCTACCAGGTAGGAGAAAGAAAGGAAGACCAAAGAGGAGATATATGGATGCAGTGAGGGAGGACATGCAGATAGTTGGAGTCAGGATATAAGATACAGAGAACAGGGAGAGATGGAAATCAATGATTTGCTGTGGCAACCCCTGAAAAAGGGACAAAGCCGAAAGAAAAAGAAGAAGTTCTCTTCACAAACACCTGATCACGCATTTGTGATCAGTGTTTTTGGATGTTATTTTGTTCTGCAGTGGCCACGGTCTTAACATAAATGAAGCTAATAGCTGCAAGGCTCCAGTATACAGATACGGTACAGCACTAGAGGGAGGACCCTGACACTGCAGTATCTCAGACAAATTTAGAGCAGAAGCCTTTTCTACCAATTACAGCCGGTCTCTGCAGTCTGCAGAGTGTTTTCTGCTCAGCTTTGAAAAAGAAACTACAGAGGACACTTTCCTCTGTGTTTACACCCTCTACATAAAATTTTTAATGAATTTCTTTCATAGATAAACAGCCGTCAGCTGCCTGGTGCACTCTTCATAAATTCAGGGGGAAAAAAACAAGTCTGAGACTTCCAAACAACAGTTGCTTTGACAGCTGAGCCTTTGTCAGATTGTATCATTTTCCCAAAAATAAATTTGGAAAATGTAAAATTTGTTAATGTGTCTGTTTTGTGTATGTATACAAAAATCATACAGTATGTTGCCAAAGTTTGAAAAAAAAAATGGTTTAAATAGTTTAACCAAAAACAGCTTAAGGTTAGCCCTAGACGCTTGAACTTGCTAACAACTAAACCAAATATTATCTGAGACATATAGGCCATAAGGTGAACCCTATTATCGTTTCATCTGAGAACTACATGATCTTAACTTCATAAAAACAAACGAGTTACGTTAAACTCAGAGCAAGAAGATGAACTAAAGACTGTGTAGTTCCCAGATGTTGGAGTGGAATTCAATTTCTGAAAGACTTTTCGTGGTTCACCTTACAGCTTAATAACAACGCAGGGGAAAAAAAGTCAGATGTTAGCACAGAAAGCTAAAATCAGCTCTGGAGTTCAAAAATGTCGGTGGAGAGTTTTGCAGTGTTCTCTAGAATGTTCTTAAAACACAATTGTCAAACTCAAGGCCTCTATGATTCATGTTTCATGTACAACACCAGGAAACAAGGACTGCAGTTGCTTCATGATGGATCAGTTAATCATGATAATAACAGTTATAAGAGTTTCAGAAATTTCTACTTTGGACCACTGTCTGCAGCTGTCTGCAGCAAGTTTTGACTTCAGATGAACTCATTTACTGGACAATATGGGTGTGGGTTTTAGTCCACGGAAAAATTCTGATGCATTCCTTGTGTCTGATATTTCACAGGACATTCCATGCAGCATGCAGTCAGATGCAGAGAGAGAAGATTCAGTAACCACTCACTTCCAGCCCTTGCTGCTCCAAACAAATGAGGAGGAGGAAAAAGATAAACGCCGTAAAAACTGGAGAAAATGTTTCATTTTCATAAAGTTGTGAAAAAAACATCACCGGATGCTACGTTATCATAGTATGACATGTGCATCTGTAAGATGTTAAGAGACTTTTTAACAATTAAAATACAATTTTCTTTAATTCTACACAAAAATCTCTGTGTGTCTGTCAAGGGTATAAAGATAATATTTCACATTGACACCAACCAAAAAATACATCTGCTGTAAATAATTAAAAATAATGAAAGAAATATTAATGTCATCATATTTGATACATGAGTTTTAGTTTCAATTGAAATGTAAGGGGTCTAATTAAAGATAAAAGAAATTATGTGACCAAACTGTGAAACCTATGCAAAAAATGCAATGAGAAAAAAAAAATCATGTAGATTGCTATTTGTTGAGCCTTTCAAACATTTTTTCATCAGACACTTTTTGTGTCTGAACTTCCTTTCTCGTTTTTTTCTTCCAAAGTCAAATTGAGTAATTGAAAAAATAATAAGACTATTTTACACTAATAAGAAAATTCTGGAGATAGGAAGATTGATTGAGAAGAGCCCAAAGATCACTGGGGCTGAGCTCCAAAGATGCAGTCGGGAGATGGGAGAACAAGTTGTAGAAAGTCAACCATCACTGCAGCCCTCCACCAGTCGTCGCCCAACGGAAGCCTCTCCTCAGTGCAAGACACATGAAAGCCCGCATGGAGTTTGCTAAAACACACCTGAAGGACCTCAAGATGGTGAGAAATAAGATTCTCTGGTCTGATGAGATCAAGATAGAACTTTTTGGCCTTATTTTCTAAGCGGTATGTGTGGAGAAAACCAGGCACTGCTCATCACCTGTCCAATACAGTCCCAACAATGAAGCATGGTGGGGGGGGGGGGGGGGGGGCATCATGCCTGTGGGGTGTTTTTCAGCTGCAGGGACAGGATGACTGGTTGCAATTGAAGGAAAGATGAATGTGGCCAAGTACAGGGATATCCTGGATGAAACCCTTCTCCAGCATGATCAGGACCTCAGACTGGGCCGAAGGTTCAACTTCCAACAAGACAATGACCCCAAGCACACAGTTAAAAAAACGAAGGAGTGGCTTCAGAGCAACTCAGTGACTGTTCTTGAATGGCCCAGCCAGAGCCCTGACTTAAACCCAATTGAAAATGGGTATCCACCAACGTTCACCATCCAACCTGACAGAACTGAAGAGAATCTGCAAGGAGGAATGGCAGAGGATATCCAAATCCAGGTGTGAAAACCTTGTTGCATCATTCCCAAAAAGACTCATTGCTGTATTAGCTCAAAAGGGTGTTTCTACTAAATACTGAGCAAAGGGTCTGAATACTTATGACCATGTGATATTTCAGTTTTTCTTTTTTAAAGCATCTGCAAAAATGTCAACAATTCTGTTTTTCTGTTAATATGGGGTGCTGTATGTACATTAAAGAAGAAAAAAATAAACTTAAATGATTTTAGCAAAGGGCTGCAATATATCAAAGAGTGAAAAATTTAAGGGTCTGAATACTTTCCGTACCCACTGTAGTTTTAGTATTGGTGTACGTTTTTGTATTTGCTGTTTATAATATGGCATGGAAGAGGATTTAAAAAAACCCGTAGTGTACTGTTGGCGCTGGCATCTCACCACAGTCTGTAGAGTCTCCAGTTGTGTTATGTGTTGACTTGTAGACAAACTCTTCTCCCTGAAATCATCCTGTAGTGTATGGACCTGAGTGGACAGCTGCTTCTCCACCTCTGCAGCCTGTACACACATTAAACACAACTGTGCCCAAACTTTTTCATACCACTGTATGTACAATATATAAAACAATACAAAACAGCATAAGAAAATGAATGGCAATGTTAAGAATGCAACCACTGCAATACAACTCTGAGGCAATAGGCTACACATGACATGTTAGTCTTCACTGTCAGTGTCAAGGCAGTCGTCATCCTCCTTCTCCTCGATTTTCTTTGTGTTTGCACAGTTGCAACACCTACACAGCCTGTACACACATTAAACACAACACAGGTCAACATGGGTCTGCTTCTTATTCACAGTAATCAGAATGAATATCATTTATTATACCCCACACTCAGTTGCCCAGCCTTGCTGTTCACTTCCTCTGTTCCTAAAAGCTGTTACTTCACTGTCATTGTGTTTTTGGAGAGCCTTCACTCTGACCCAGTACAGCTGCATTATTTAAACTTTAGTGGATATGTAGGAGCAGAAACACACAGTTTATAGTTGACTCAGAACTGTACTCAGGAATCAATATTGCTAATGTTATCACCACGATTGCCATGGCAACAGCAGCGTCCTCAACCTGCCTTATATTTCTACAGCCCAGCAAACATCACAAGGGGTAAATTTATTGGAAAACAAAATAAGTCAAGGTTACGTCAGCTAGACATAGTTTCCAGGATTTCCTGAAAATCACAAAAAGTAATATTTATAATAGCTCACAGGTGGTGCTATATACTGCAGCAGCTTTGATAAGGATGCTGACAAAGAGTTGAAGATGCTTCAGTTGGTCATCTTAGTCAATATAGTCCTTCCTCAGGTCACTGATGTCTGTGCCTTCAGCTGACACGGACTGTCACTGTTCTACCAGGAGTCTGTAAAAACAGGTGAAGCTGCCACAGTTCTTGTGCCTCAGCTCTGATGTTCTGCAGCACAGACTGAGACACAGTGACTAATCTGCTGTGACTTAGTCAAAACTGGCTGTGAAGGAAGTCAGGAAGCTCCATCAACCACTGCTTCTAATCATGCAACCTGTTTCTAATAATAGGCCATAAGGTGAACCCTATTATAATTTCATCTCACGCCGAAGTCTGGGAACTACACGATCTCAACTTTATAAAAAGAACGAGTTACGTTAAACTTACAGCAAAAAGGTCGTCGCAAAAAATCCTGCCCATTTTTTATGGCAAGGCATTTTATGCCGAACTAGTTTCTTCAGGGCATAAAAAGATTTTGGTTCGCGAGCGGTGGCACGGTTTCGACACGTGATCGTGCTAGACCAATGGAGTAGCTGATTGACGTCAACACTCCGGCAACATGGCTACCTCCATGGTTTTACTTAACATTACCGATAGAGAGGAATTCTCCCAAAAGTCTTCTACAATGGGCCAAATGGATTCTAAACAGTGTTTTATACAGAGCCTGCATGGAAAGAAATGAGGCAAATAGACGATAAGGTGAACTTTCTTTGTTAAGTCATTTTGATCAATAAAAGGAAGTAATCAATGACAAGGACCATTTGTTTATTTATTTGTTCATTTATTCACTCCTAACTAAATACAACACTGATCAACCATAAAAAACAATCTTTATTAAAACATATATACATACAGTGGTATGAAAAAGTTTGGGCACCCCTGATCATTTTCAAGATTTTCCTTTATGGATCATTGGTCGTTCGGAACAGCAATTTCAATTAAATATATCATATAGCAAACAAACACAGTGATATTTAAGTAGTGAAATGAAGTTTATAGGATTTACAGAAAATGTGCAACAATTACCTTAACAAAAGTAGGCAGGTGCATACATTTGGGCACCCTTGTTGTTTTATTGATTTGAATACCTTTAGCAAAAATTATTGGAACACAAAATTTGATTGGTAAGCTCATTGACCCTTGACCTACATACACAGGTGAAGCCAATCATGAGAAAGGGTATTTAAG